GAAATTTCCACTTTTACAAGTCTCTGCGTCTGTATGATAGGGCAGGAACAATACAGTGCAGCATACTACAGACGGACTGAAAAACCGAGCTATACGTAGCTAAAGAGATAAAGTAGAAAAACCTGTATAGAAAAATGTACTATAGATATATTATAGTGCTGTATGTTTCTAGAAAATCAGAAATCAAGTCATAAAATTATTTCCACATAGCATCTAAGACATAGTCTACAGGTACGATTAGTTGGCTGATGAAAGGGAGGTCAGGGTTTCAGTATGTCTATTGTTGCAGTGATTAGGTCCACGCCAGCACTGTTAAGACACCGAATGAATATCAGAGGGGTCATTAAGTTCTGTCATCTCTTTGATGAGGCTGCTCTGAGTAGAGATCATATTTCCTGTGAAGAGTGGCCATTTGCCCACAGTGTCTCCACATCTTCCTACTGTCTCTCCGGCGCATGCTGTGATACAGTCCGGCACCAAATGATCAACTGCAGGAAACAGACAACATATGAATGAGGAGATATTTTTAGAAAGAACTTGGATTAAAGAAAGGAAGCGAACTCAAATAGATTTTGTGATTTTATCCACCAGATTGGTGCATTCATGTACAGTGGTAGTTTAGTCATTTGAGCTATTAATTCACAAACACCATCTCTTATTAAAAGAACCACAGCTTTGCTTTAAGGTTTGCAGCTAAAAACAAGTCTGGTTTATTTAACAAAAGCTATCAGGGCTCACGGCTCACTCTGATAAATTATTCAGTAATCCAGCAGTCGCACTGATTATCACATTAAAATAATTATTCTAATATGGCACTTGGATACAGTGAGTGACTATGACAGAGACAACATCTGACTTCAACCCAGTTCTCTCATCTTGGCCGCTCTTCATATTTCGGCCTATCCCAGAATTCACATGTGTACCGACACTGCATGAAGCAGCCAATGGCAGGCCAGGGAGGAAATGGTCTTGGAAGGCTGTCAGGCAGGGAGCAGTGAATGACCATATATGGTAAAATCTGCAGTCAGCAGGACTGAGCGGCAGAAGCGGCAAAGGCAGAGGCAACTGAGCAGTATAGAGGTCCTGGAACACAGACTGACCAAAGTATGGGGAAAGACCATGGATATTATGCACACCCAGTGTATTTCTGTGTGGGGACAGAGCGTTGCTTAGTTAGCAGCCAAACTGGTGTATGTGAGACAGAACAGAAATAATGTGTCACTGTGCACACACCCAGGGATTTCTACAGCAAAGGTTGAGCACTGGATGAATGGTGCATTGAGGGACTGAATCCAAATCAAACACATACACACCACATCTGATCATCCTTTCTGTGCAGAGGCAGCGTTTGAAGCACTAACGTGCAACATGCCTTCGACATTAAGCAATGCACTGTGTGGTGTTAGGGCTGTAGTTTAGGTCAGTCTTAAAAGACACAGACAAAAGAGGAAACCAAAGATGCCAGGGATTGACAAAGTGACTCACACAGTCTGCATGGAAAATAAAGATACTAGACAGCGTGGATTTTTTTTTAACAATGGCATGTTTGGATAAATTAAATAAGGGATTTCTAGTTAAGGCATATAAATCACAACAACTGTAATGATTTACTGAGACTTCCCTCCTCTTATGCTGAGCAGACAGAGAGGAATTATCAGGAATGTTTCACTGAACACTTGCTAGCTGCTGCATTCACTCCCACAGCTTCCTTCATATGGAAATCAGGGAATAAATTAGCAGGCATCCTGCTAAGAAAGAGAAAGGGGGAGATTGAAAGCATGAGGCAAGGGAATGACGTGTTGAGCTGGACATCTGATGCCCTCTCTATAAAAATCCCTGTGTTCTGACAGGAGGAAGCAACAATACTCATGGCTGTGCTGAGTCACGGCGGCCGGCCGCACTAACCTCACCCTACTGTGTCACACAAAGAGACTGGCTCCATTGGTTGACTACTCAAAATGAGGCTCAGACCTCAGGTCAGGTCACAGATCCACAACATCAACCTCTGAACTCCAAGAGATGATTTTCTATTCATTTCCAGATGCATCAAATTATGTCAAAGGTTTTTTAGAATGTAAGCAGAGGGAGTACAAGGCTTTTTCGAGGGCTCATATTTTCAATAATTTATTCTCCTACCGTTATAACAAAGAGGGTGCACAGTTGCATATGGCTAAATTGTGAAGGGGGAAGGAGCATCATCACACTTCTGGCTCCCCCCAGTCTAAGTGTGGTTATGACAAAGGGCTGCGTTGGGAGTAAGCGTAGGACAAAGACCCTGAGCAGCTGGCTGCCCACAGAGACTGGGAGCAACACAGCAAAGGCAGATGGGTTAGCCGGACAGATGCACCCTCACATTAGGGACGGGAGGGTGGGGGTGTTTAGGGGATGTGCGGCCTTGAAACAAAAATGAAACGAGACCCAGGTGATTCAAACTGTCCAAGTGTCCTTGAATCAGGCACAGATATTTATCCCCACAGCAGAGCGGCGTCTGACAAACGCTCATAAAGTAAAGCAGACACTTTGTACAGACGGCCCAATAACAAATGGGAAAGCATACCGATTCAATTAGTTTAACCGTTTGCAAAATGATCTATGATCCTTTTAAATTCAGTTCACTGGAAATTATCTCAGGTGCTAAGACCAACTGTGTATTACTGATCCACTGCAGTGCAGCCTAGTCATACCATTTGCAAGAACAGACTCGCCCCACTTTTGAGACCTGCATTGCCAGCTGAGGCTATACTGAGATTTCCAGATGGACCTGCTTTGTTAGAAAAAGAAATCATTGGAGAATACCATGGTGATAAAAACCAAAAATAGATATTATAAAAAAATAAAATAAAACACACAAACAGATTAAAAAGGGAATGCCTATTAATTTAGGATCTGAAATTTATGTTGTTCTTATGCCCGATTACCTGAAGACAGTCAGTTAATTCATATGCTGAGCTGTAAGACTGGTTTGGTGGCAATACATACTGGTCCCACTGTTTAAAGTATAACATACATACACAATATAAATAATGCTTAAGAAATATGGTATTCCCCTTCCAGCTCCAGTGTCTCAATGCACGGCCTGTTGCAATGAGGAAAACACCATATCTGAAGGCTTAGCCTGTGTCACGCCTGCCAGCTTGTATGTGGGAAGATCTAAAAAAAAAATCAAGAGAGCTTTTTTTTATTTTTATTAATCTCTCACTTGAGGAAATTGCCCGAGGTTTGCTCTGCAAAGAAAGATCTCAGTCTCTTACAAATTTTAGTTCAGTAGTGAAAGTAGACTTTGTTCAGTAGACACACCATTACTGTACTGGGACACGGCACGCAGAGAGCAGCTCATTCAAACAGGGACACACAGAGGAGGGCAGGACGAGTGTGAAACCGGTCGAGCTTGCAGCCCACCTCCAGTACAAGCTCTGTATTGAATGAGGTGCTGAGAGGTGTAAGCTGTGTGATGACAGGCCTAAGGATCCGATCCCCTGTGCCAGAGCCTTCTCAGATGACATGGCAGTGTACTGGTGTACACTAATTACAGGCCCAGGTTAGATCTGTCAACAGTATTGCAGTACTTATGTCACTCACAGTGTCAGGACCTGCCACTTGGCCATTGCTTGGAGCTGCCAAAGAGAAACACCAGCAGCCACCAATTTACCACCATCAACTGTAATGGCACCCAAGGGCTCTCTTAGGGACACGCCAGAGGCCCCTGCTGGATACAGTCGAATCTCTATTTTGCCTTAATTAGCCCAAATATGACAGCAGGGTTAAAACAAAAGGGAGGGATGTATTCACCCAGCTAGCTTGTTTATAGCTAAACACTCTTCAAATGCTGTCTCGCCCAACCCAGAAGTAATTCTAGTTGGAGTGGAGTGATTCCTTATATGGAGGCAAGGATCAGGAGACTGTTCACTCCAGGGCTTTAGAGTAGTTTCTGTTGTACACATGAGGGTTTGTGAAACAGCCCGCTGGTAAACATTAATCCCAATGTACACTGACTGAAGAGTCAGCAGTCCAGCCTGTAAGAGGTAAAGTCTTCTATGCAAATAGTTATTTACTCGACACAAAATGTAGGAAATAGGCGCTTAGTCTCAAAAAATAAAAAGAGGAACCAAGATTTTTAGTTCAACTCTCTCTACTTTTTTTTAAGTGTTTTATGTCAGCCCCAATTTGATCCCACAGAGAGGATGGCTTTTCCTTCCCTTTTATGTCATCACCGACATGTAGACAATATCAAGATTTCTCCCCAGCCCCATCTAAAAATATCCAGACGAAATGTGATCCACTTAAATCATCTGTAACAAAAGCATCCCATGCATAACCGCGCTCAAAGAAGACACACAACGCCTTTAAAGGTTAGCATCACACCATTTCAATGCATCCTTTTCCCTCAGAATAAGGACAAAATATATTACCTTCAAACCGGTTTCTATGAAAACGTTTAAAGATCGGCCTTTAGTAAACATAACCAAGATCATTAAGACGCACACGGCTGATCATTCATGGCCTGGTAGCAGATATGCAGACTCTAAAATGTAATCTCAAACAAATACTTATTAAATAAAGATGTTCAGCAATCCTTAAGTTTGAATAGAACAGACAGCATACGGAGAAGAGCCTTACCAGTAGTGGGGTTAAATGTGCAGTTTGCCTGTTACTGATCATTGAAATCAGAAAGGGCATAAACATGTACTGAAAATATCAAAACAGTCTGCTTTCTCTGATGTTGCAGAGCTGCAGCTGTTAAGAATATGTGCACCGAAGTAAACAAAGTAGTAAGTAATAAAAACTACCCAAAACTGATTAACCAGAGCATTGTTAGACACTCGGCGTCTACTACTACTGTAGCATAAAGAAGCGGGAAATGCAAACACGCTTGCACACTCAGTTCACCTCCATCTAGCTGCCATAAAGGCCAGCTCTGACTTATGTGCACCGTCCAAATGAACAATAATATATACGCATATCTACTGTGGCATACGTCATATGATACACCATAAACATACCTTATGAAGAGGGAGAACGAGGAAAGCTCCACCGCCACTGGCCTCAATAATTATGGCGACAAACTTGGGGTTGACTGCACAGAAGGCGCTGTCCCATGTGACCCTTGACACCCGGATATCATCGTAGCATTGGTCATTCTTCACCGCCTGGCCAAAGACGTGACGGAATTTGCTCTGCCGTACAACTCGTCTCATATCTGTGCAAAGAGGAGAGAGGAAGATTTAACATAACGGCAAATGATTTTAAAGACGTACATTGTTGAAATGAAAGTGAAACCACAGTAACAGTAAAGTGAGACAGTTTAACCAACACATACATAGACTACTTGAGCCTTGTTTTTCCACGACACAACCCCTTGGCAGATGTGTTGTTTTCTAACAACCCATTACTACTCTCTACTCAGAGGGTCTCCCTGGAATTTCAAGGGCGTCGTGTTGCTGAGGATCTCGAAGATGAGTCTTTCCAACGCATGTGGTAGCTTGCAAATATGAATGTAACATCCTACTGTGGAAGGAGGGTGATGATGCTACAGTGGAGTATGATGGCATCGTTTCATTCTTTATGGAGAGCTCTGGGACTCGGACAGGGATCTTTCTACATTTAGTTTCACTACCTTAATGCCTGTTGGGTAAGAAAAGGGGATGAGGATATTTAAAGGCAAAAACAAGCCAGTTCCCCTAACAACGCTCACTGTATCAAACAAACATGTGTTCTTACATCTGGAGAACAGGATTTGTAGAGCATGGCATCTTTGCATTATTATAATACTGTTTTGTCACACATTTTACCTTTATCAAACAGCTGCCGGTTCTGCGATAAGGATAATATTTCTATTAATTATGCAGCCCTACTTCAAATTCACTCATTACTACACTTCAAAAACAGCTAAAACTTTGTAATAATAAAAAAGGGGTTTAACATTTTCCGATTACGAATAAACACGTTTGATGATATTTCATAGGACTTCAAACTCTTTTCCCTGTCTAGTTGTTTCTCTTCATCCTCAGTTGTGCCTAACATTAAACGTCTGAAAAACCAACACGATTTATATGTGGCACACTCAGAAAGAGCCAAAGGAAAATAGGACATACCCAATCCAAACAAAAACAGACTTTGTAGCGGGTTCAGCTAAAATCTTCACCAAGACAAGAATCTGCTGGCACACAAGAAAGCTTCGGAAAACAAGCCCATTCAAAAGCTACAAGTCCAAGTGCTGTGCTTACAACAACACACCACTTCCAAAGATAATGGAAAGCTGGCCAGTTTCAGATAAACGACCAGAACTAAGGTCCAACCGAACCTACAACCTAAAGAAAGACAAAAAGCGCTTTAGTGGTCTTTTTTAGCGCCCCTTAAATCTTTTTTTAATTTTTTACAGCACATGGTAACAGTTTCCCAGCCTGAATCACCAACATGATAAAATCACAGCACAGGATGTGGGATATGTTTTAGAGGTGGTTTTCCATTGTGTGTGTGTGCGTGTATAAAAGAGAGAGAGAGTGAGCGAGCTAGAAACGCTTGTACGGCATGTTTCCGACAGGACAAGGATCACAACACAAGCAGGAAGTTCTTCCTGTAGGGATGTGGCCTAACAGCCCGACGCGTCTGTAAAAACGAGAAACACAGAGAGTGGGCTAAAAGACAGATTTGTTTAAATGAGATAAACAGTAGATATAACAGTTAATGACTGAGTGTTAATCTTCCTTAAACTGAGGATTTTCCAGTTTTCACAGAGTTACATAAGATTCTCTAAATCCTCCTCTAAATTTATCTGGATCAGAAGTGCATTTGTCTAGGAAAGTGAATTTGATTACTCCGGGAAAGGCTGACTCAGACCAAGAGCAACTTACTGACATCCAATTATAAACAGCCTCCAGAAATCCTGGTAGATACATCATAGTTTTTAAAAAAAATCAATTTTTAATGTAAGAAATTGATACTCAAAGATGTTTAAAAAGGCAATTATTCTCCATTTTCACAGCATGTCACAGGCAGCCATGAAACAGCCCTTTTGTCACTGCTGAGAAAGCCTTATATAATGACTTACAATTACGTTTCAAGTATGTCAAAAATGGGGAAAGAAGAGTTGTTCTTCTCGACAGTGATGTGATGGTAGTCTGTGGCAACACTCAACAAGGGCAGCTATTGTTATGAGGAGCGAGGCTTGTTTACCCTTACTTTTGGAGCTATAGATTTGTCACATAATCTGGTCAGAATAGAGGCTACATGTGAACACACACCTAAATCAGCTACCTGTCTCGCGGGAGTCTTGGCTACAGCTTTATTGTGCAAGCACAAGCTGCTGCTGCTGCTGTTGCTTTCTGTTATTGGAAGTCTGACTGACGACTGTGATTCTCTCATTTAAAAAGGCAATATAATGAATATTTATAATAGGTACATGATCATTTTTAAGGCTTATGTAACTGTCCTACTGACATACAGAGGGCAGCTTGGGCGCACCAGTGCTGATTGTCAGGCATGTATCTGAAGAAAGTACCAGCTTTCCTAAATGAGGAACTGTGTGTACTACATACATGCCCTCAGGTAGTCATTCCCCTCTTTACATTGTCCTCTACACAATACACTGATGCTGGTGTGTGCTTGTGTATAAACAGATGCAGTGGACCTCGGTTATCTGAACAGTCTACTGATTCTGCTGGCACACTATAACCCTACCACAGTTAATCACACAGGATAAAACATAGCCTTGTTAGACATCACCCAGAAGAATATAGGTTTGGCTTCTCGTGACTTCCAGCATGCTGTACAACTTGGTTATTTCTAGGGATTATCGGATCTGATACTCTGCATTTTTCTGATTATTGGTATTATTTGAATCCGATTTAAAATGTGCTAATTTGTCTTTGCTGCTTCTCTGTCTGTAATCACCACTCTGTAGCCTGATCCAGAGCACTGATTGGTTACACATCATGAGTAATGAGAGAGTAATCATTTATTTTAAGACAAAGTTGAATTTTTTTCTTTTGCAGCATTTAATTGAACAGAATTATGCTTAAATACTTAAGCAAATCTAGCTATACCACTTTCACAAGTAAAAGTCCTGTATTCAAAATCAAAGTATTGACATTAAAATATACTTAAAGCACCTAAAAGTAAAAATGCAGATGGCCTGAATAATATATATAATAAAATACATCA